AAATTTCCCAGCTTCAGAGAAGGAATTGGAGGGTGAGAGGCATATAGGCATACTATATACCTCTCACCCTTCAATTCCCTCGGGAAAGTTCGAAAACTCGGTCGCAATCAGATGCAATAGAACTGATTGTTTTCTGAAAGAAAAATGCTTTTTAAATTCTGATTATATGAAAAAGCACCTTCACCTATGAATTCAATTGATTCTGGAATTGCAATCGTAGTAAATCTACAAGAAGCAAAGCCAAGAGTATCTATAACTTTAAGCTTAGAAGGAAGTAATGGAGGAGATTGGTAATATGTAATATCGAAAGCCTGACTTGTGATATAAAGTAAATTCGAAGGGAAAACTATATTTGTAAAATTATTTCTTTTGTTATAAAAAGCTTTTGGAGCAATTTCTGTAACAATGTATTCCTTTGATTCATAGAAGATTGAATTTGGGAATATTAATTCAGGCTTGCACTGGCCATTACAACCTAAAACGCTAGCTGTAATGCTAGGTCCGTTGAGTGAGTATTGTAAATTCTCATAAATATAGCTCTTTATTAAAACTAATTATTATTAAAACTAATTATTATTTCTGAACTATTATAATTTTTCAAAAATTATGGTGGCTTCACTATCATTTTTTGATAAGTAATAAACTCATCATACTAATGACTTTGTTTGAAAATGTTTTTCACATTATCTTTTCACTTTTCATAAAATTACAACGGGAATTAATTTATGATTTGTTTCTCAATATATTTTCTTTGAATTAACCTTATGTAAGGATTTTATAAAAATCTAAAAGAAGAATTTTGAAATAAGTAGCGAGAATTCATTCGTTTTCAATCGAACATATTTCTATAATCTCAATTCTGGTGTCGGTGGGGCTATATATCTTGTCAAAGAAAACAACAGTCTCAGGATTGAATTTAGTTCATTCATAAAATTAGTATCGCAAAGTGTTAAATATAAAATTGACTCAAATTATGGATGCCCTGCATTCTATCATGAAGGAATTTCCTTTCTTTGCTCTGGTTTGTATTTTGAATCTTGCCAAGGAAAGAGTAGAGCACTAGATGCGTCATTTGCGCCAAAAACAGGCGACTATAAAATGCAGACAAATGATACTTCAATGTTTAATTGTATTACTGATACAATTTTTTATATGCATTCTTACGGAAATTCTATTTTTTCGAATTACAATACTACGATGAATACTGCAAAGTATCAATATGGAAGTACTCATGCTGGATATGAAACTTTTAATGCCTCAGCAATTTTTTGTATCAATGAAAATACTACAACGTCAACTTTAAGCATATTATCATGGCAATCCGGAACTTCTAAGTACTATTATTTGCTTAATAACAATAATTCAGGATATTTAGTTGTTCGTCCGGCAACATCTTTTGAAAATAGTTATTTTATTGGAATTCCACAACCAATCCTTTTTACTAATTGCTTTTTTGACGCTGAAATAAGTCAGGCAGAAACAATCAATTGCACTTTAATTAATGAACTACCATTAATGCAATTGATTGGCATTAAATATTATTATGTTGAATACAAAATATCTAGATGCCTTTGCAAATATTCTTTTAATTTTAGCTTTCTTTATGTTTTTAAACCCATTTTCCTACGTAAAGTCTCCCTATCGTTTTTCTGTCTCAATATTTAATGAACCTCTATCAAAAATTTGAATAAGAGACTTTACAAAAGAAAAGGAGCTTATTTTGATGTAAATTATCTATTTATTTTCTTACTCATTTCTTTCCATAAATTTACATTATGCACCACTTAATGCGTATTTGGAACTCTATGAACAATTTTTAGATTATTTAAAAAAATAATTCAATGATATGATGAAAGTAAGTGAAATATTGCCATTCATTGAGCTGCTGGTTCCCAATTATGTTTATGCTTCCTGACAGGTCTTTCTAAATTGATATAAAACAGTTGAGATCGACTTTTTGCTCACAAAATTGTATAGCTATTTCAAATACCTAATGCTATTCTTTCAATATTGAGTAATGATTATTGTCATAATTTCATAATTTCAGTTAACGTTTTCTAAATGAAAGGAAATATTATCTTAGACCTCATTGGGATTTATTGAAACAACCACTGGAACTTATGAAATCTATAGATGCAACTATGCGAAGACACAAATTAATTCCGGGGATGCTGTTTACATAAAGCAAAGGGATTCCTTTCTGAATATTACAAAAACATCATTTTCAGATATTATCACATTATATTCAATGCATTATATTGATCAAAACTTTAGTTGCCCTGCTTTTTTCCATGAAGGCAGTAAAATTTTAATGAATAAAATGATAATATGCGGATGCTATTCAAAATTCAGAGGGATTGCTGCTTCTTTTGTGCCACAAACTTCATTGAATTCACAAAATGCATTTTATTCATCATTTTACCAAAACAATCTGGATAATTCAACTGCTATTTGCCATATTTGTTGTTGTATGGGAAATTGTAATTTTGAGAACAATAATGTTTCACATAATCAAGGAAATTATCCAGGCCCTGTTGCCATTTACTTAGCTTTCGGAGTTTCTGAAAGTTTTTGCTATTATTTCAATAATACTAAAACGCATGCAGTAATTTTTCATCATTGTATGGATAATGCTCTGCAAAATGTTGCAAACACAGTAGTTTTTAAGAATTCTCCAGAAAAATCTTTAGAACAAACATGGGGCACTTCAACAATGACATTGAATAACTGCGTTTTCTTTGAAAACACTGTTTATAAGTTTGAAACTAACCCAATTGTTAAAAATTCATATTCAGACAAAATTTTAACAGATTGTCAGCCAATCAATAATCAGATCATTAGCACTTACTCTATAACAACTGATTATGGAATTAAAACACTCAAATTCGATGTTATTCAATCTTGCATACAAAATAATTTGTATTTAATAACTAAATCTTTATTTTACTTTACTTTCCTCTTCCCATATGAATAAAAGTTTATGTCTGTACTTAACCAACTAAATAAAACATGAGTAATCTAATTCTGAATTGGCAAATATGCATTCCTATGCCATTATATAGGATAATATAAATGATTTCTTTAATCACAAATCATGTAGATCATCATTTTCAAAAAATGTATTGAAATTTAGTGTTATTCCTCGCTGGGATTTACTGAAACTAGTTCAGGAACTTTTGAGATTTATAGATGCCAGTATTCAAAAACACAGGTTAATTCAGGAGGCGCAGTATATATTATTCAGCAGAATTCTATTCTTAATATTAGGAAAACATCATTTTCAGATATACTTACATTTTATTCAAGATTTTACGGAGATCAAAACTTTGCATGCCCTGCTTTCTTTCACATCGGCAGTAAGATTTTACTTGATAAAATGATAATTTGCAGATGTTACTCTACATTCAGAGGAATTGCTGCATCTTTTGTTCAACAGACATCAGCAAATACACAAAGTGTAATAGATTCATCTTTTTACGAAAATAATTTAGATAATATTAGTGTTACTTGCCATATTTGCTGTTGTCTCGGAAATTGCAATTTTGAGAACAATAACATTTCAAATAATCAAGGAAATTATCCAGGTCCCGTTGCCATTTATAGAGCATTTCAAGTTTACGAAAATTTATGCTTTTATTTCAATAATACTAAAACATCAGGAGTAATTTTGCACCATTGTATGGAGAATGCTCTACAAAACATTGCAAATACAATTGTATATAAAAATATTGGATCAGAATTTCTTGAAGTAACCATGGAAACATCAACAATGACAATAGATAATTGTGTATTCTTTGAAAACGAAGTCTATAAGTTTGGCAACAATCCAATCGTTAAAAATTCATATTCAGACAAAATTTTAACAGATTGTCAGCCTTTCAATAATCATATCATTAGTACTTACTCCATAACAACTGATTATGGAATTAAAACACTCAAATTCGAGATAATTCAATTGTGTATTCAAAATAACGTGTATTTTATTACCAAATCTTTATATTGTTTTACCATTCTCTTATTATTAGAATAAAATTTTATTTCAATGTCTAACAAATTAGATGAAATCCAGATTATCAAAGAAATCTGCATATATTAGTACTTTGATAGCGAACATCATTAAGAGTTACTATAATGATAAGTCAACCCAGTGCTGCTTTATTTATTAAAACTCATTTTAAACTAATTACCAAATTTTCGTGTAATTAGCTCATTTTAGCAAAATGGAAAACAGTAAACGCTAAACTTATTATAAATACAAAGAATTTGGAGCTTATATCTAAGACAACATCATTCTTTTACGAATAATGAAATTAATTAGTTCAAATTTATCTTTGTTTTAGTTCGCTCATTTAAATTCTAAACAAGCAATGTCTAATTTTATGCTGTTGAGCAAAATTGAAAAACTAATAAGATAAAAAATAAAATTTTAAAGAAATAAATGGATAACAAGGTGAAATTGTCGCAAAACTGATGGTTCATAAACATAGTAATTGAAAATTATTTGTTGTTGAATTTATTTGCGAGAGCTTTCACTGAATTTGGTTTATTAGAGGGAGCTGTGGTCTTTGTTGTAGTTTTTATAGTTGTCTTTGTAGTAACACTGTAGATTTGTGGCTTTGGCTCAGGAGGAACTTCGTATTTAGTTTCAATAATTGTAGTTTTAGTTGTAGAACGCGTTGATGAGTTCGATTCCGTCTTGTATTGTACTGATGAAGCAACACAGATGATCTGACCCTTGATGCAGGCGCAGACAATGCCCAAAATCAAAACAACAATTGTTATTGCGAGGATGCAATAAGTAACAATTTGTTGCCACGTGATACCATATGATTTACGACCCATCATCTGATCGTACTCATAATCAGACATATCAACACTGCAATTAGTAATATAAATTGAATATTTGTAGATAAATTGTTCAAAAGCAATTTCTACATCGAATTTCGTGTTAATTTTGGCTGTAATATTTGGACGGAATCCGACAAATCTTTCATCCCACATCAAAAGTAAGGTGCTGTAACAATTGGAACGGCAGTTCCGTTTTGTTTAACTGTAACCTTAGGGAGTGTAGTTGACATGTTTCTACCCCAGAATGTCCACATTACACCGTTATCTGCAGGAATAAGTTCTGGTGGAACTGGACCTGGAGGAGGAGAAGCTACAAAATCAATTTCATGCGGTTTATCTAATGTTGCCATTCCGAATGTTTTAAGTGCACTGGCACCACCAACGCCACAGAAAGATGTTTGCTTCATTGATCTACTGAGAAGCCATAATCTATGGCCAGGATTTGGATCACCATAATCGTAATAATATCCTAATATCGCAGCTGCTGAAGATGCAGATCCACCTGCTAAGTTTGAAGTACCGCATCCAATTGAAGCGTTTGTGGAGTAGCATTTCGTAGATTCAGATGGTTCGTGATGAAGACCATTGTAATAGCAGTATAATGCGCAAGCGCATTGCGTATCATGGAACGTATCATTGATAAAAATATTATCATTAAGCCCGGTAATCCAGCGAACGAAGTTATAAGTTTTAATACCTTTTTTGTCATCTTCAGTTTTGTTGTATTTTGGGATGGAACATTGATCTTTCGGAGGATAACCAAAAGGGAAATAATCAAAGTTCTTTTGACCCCACTTTGCATAGAAATCTGAGTTATATCTAGAGCATACTTTAGATCTCTTTCTGCCTGTTATCAATTTCATTTCGATAACTTCAGCACATATAAGAGAAATCAGTAACATTTTCTAAATAACTTGAAATGACCGTGTCAGATTTTATGAGATCAGAATTTTATTATTGTCTAATAAATTGTTGACAGAATGCATTAAATTTTTTAAAAAGATTTTGAAAACTCTTAGAATTGCTCTCAAATTTTTTTGATGCGAATTAATAAAAAATTACTATCAAATATGTATTCAACCTTATATATGTTAGAAATTTTAACGTTGTATTGAAAGGTCGATCGTTTCAAAGTACTACATTCAAAACTATGGTTTCAAATTATCATATAAAATTGATTTGGAATAATGTGAAGTTATACATATTTTGAAAATGTAATAAACAGAAATTCATCAAAAGTGACAGCTCTCAATTTTTTGACATTTGTAAATTCTAAATTGAATGAGAAAAATGAAATAATACTAAGCATAATACAATATTCTAGATTTAATTATAATTAGGAAAAAGTTAGTTTTGAGAGTACTTTTCATAGGCATATAGAATGAAATCTTCTGAAAAATAATATCACATAAACTCATATTATTTTCTAATATATAACTATTTTATATAAAAATCAAATTCAATGATCTTAAAAGCGAAGGATAAACCTCAAAATTTACGAATATAATGAGTGGGAATATAATGCTTATCTATCATAAAACCATATGAAATATCAATTTTTGCTTTACGCCTAATTTTTGACGACAATTAGCAAAAAATGTTAAATGTTAACACTCAGTCCATTTGAATATGAAAAATAAAATTGACTTTGATTAAATGTTTTTATTTATCATGCAATTCTTCTTGCGACCAAAGCTTTGACTAAAAGTTCAAAAAATAAGATAGCTTAAAAAATAATATACGGTAGTGTTTACTAATAGATGAATAGTATATAAATTCTATTAAAATGGATTTGATCCAAAAAAATATAAAACCAAAAATAATTGTTATAATTTAAATGAAGAAGTGTTGCATGCTAAGATCAGTCATAATGTAAACCTCTCAATTTTATTGTCGTGGGAAGTATCTCAATTCCTTCAAAAAAATTGAAAAACTATTTAATTTTAAAAATATAATACTTTTAATTAGTTAATTAATTGGAGATATTTTTTAAAAAATCACTTTTGATAATACTTTTGAGAACTTTAATTAAAAAAATATATTCAAAAATATCCAGGATATCTAGAGGGAATTGTTCCTTATGAGGTATATAGTTATGATGTATACCTCATAAGGAACAATTCCCTCCTTAAAACGAGAAAACTTGTTCGAAATTGTTTATCATTTCGAACAAGTTTTCTCGTTTTTAATAAGAAACTAAAGGCTATGAGGCACTGATTATATATTAGTGCCTCACAGCCTTTAGTTTCTAATAGATAGCTGGGAAACTTTCTCCAAATGATAAGTTATTCAGAGAAAGTTTCCCAGCTATCAAGAGGGAATTGTTCCTTATGAGGTATATAGTTATGATGTATACCTCATAAGGAACAATTCCCTCCTTAAAATCGTAGACATTTTATACTTATTAATCAACCATTCAAAATCATATTCCTCTGAAAAGTTATTTTATTAAAAATTTAGAATTAATAAATATAGAGTTTGAATTTCATACAATACCTATATATTTTCAATAATGGAATTTGAAAACCATTCTCAAAAGTTCTCAGAAAACCTTTTTTTCATTAATTTTAAGAATCTGAGTATTAAACTAAGTGATAAATTCGTTTGACACTACTTTAATTTTAAATTCAAAAAATTATATGTGCTTCTTAAAATGACTCAAAAAAATTTTATTATAAAATAATATATAATATTAAAAATCCCACAAATTTTTTTACTTTACATAATCGTACTTCCTCGACGATTAATTTCCACTCAATTTCTATCGTTGACCGAACTTAGCATGCAACAGAAGTCATTTCAAACGATTTTATTTATGATCAAATTTTATATATTTTTTTGGATCAAATCCATTTTAATAGAATTTATATACTATTCATCTATTAGTAAACACTACCGTATATTATTTTTTAAGCTATCTTATTTTTTGAACTTTTAGTCAAAGCTTTGGTCGCAAGAAGAATTGCATGATAAATAAAAACATTTAATCAAAGTCAATTTTATTTTTCATATTCAAATGGACTGAGTGTTAACATTTAACATTTTTTGCTAATTGTCGTCAAAAATTAGGCGTAAAGCAAAAATTGATATTTCATATGGTTTTATGATAGATAAGCATTAATATTCCCACTCATTATATTCGTAAATTTTGAGGTTTATCCTTCGCTTTAAGATCATTGAATTTGATTTTTATATAAAATAGTTATATATTAGAAAATAATATGAGTTTATGTGATATTATTTTTCAGAAGATTTCATTCTATATGCCTATGAAAAGTACTCTCAAAACTAACTTTTTCCTAATTATAATTAAATCTAGAATATTGTATTATGCTTAGTATTATTTCATTTTTCTCATTCAATTTAGAATTTACAAATGTCAAAAAATTGAGAGCTGTCACTTTTGATGAATTTCTGTTTATTACAGTTTCAAGAATATTTGACATAACTGAATCCGAATTTAATAAAAATATGCTCCAAAAATTTTTGATAAAGACGATAATTTGTTATCCCCGAATAATTGAATAGAAAAATATGAATTTGGGATTGTCACTTGTTATATTGGTATGCATATAGAATCATTTTCTAATTTTAAGCAGATATGGCAATTCATTAAGAAAAAGATACAAAATGATCAATAATAGGGAGAATGTCTATTTCGAAAAAAATAATCGTCTTTCGGTCTATTTCGAAAATAATCGTCCCGATCACGACGATAGAGGGCGAAATTATTAAAGATTGCATTTTGAAGTGAATGAATATATGCGTAGATCAGAACTCGTCTAGGCCGAGGTAAATATATAGTAAAGAAAGCTTTTAAGTTGTTATATAAAATCATAATTTCATTATATATGATATGTATTGATGATTGTTTGGAGACTTACTAAACATATTCTATATATCATAATTTTATATTGAAAAATCCTATAAAATGACAATTTGTGAGTTTTCATTATATTAATCATGGTAAAGAAGTTTTTATGGGATTATGATCCTGTAATCTCTCTATTATTCTGATAAATAAGTATGCTGAAGTGAATATATGAAAAATAAAGCACAAAATAATAATAAAAATAAATTTTTAGTCATAATAAGTTAGAAAGTAATAGCACTATATTTGTTTATCGTAGCAGTGATCTGGATCACTAGTATTAGAACGATTTTAACAAAAAAAGAATGTAAAATTTCTGAAAATCGAATTTTTTAAAGTAGTTGCCTGGTAAAATATATCTGTAGTGTAATGCGAGCATAAAGGAAGCTGATAATGAGAATATTTTAAAAAGATATTTAGTAGTATATGAGGGCGGGTTGTGTGACCTTTTTTGTAATCGTAAGAATTCTCACATAATTGAATGATTTTTGAACATACTTCTGAATAGCAGATTTTAAAAATTTATGAATAATTTATAAAAAGTTTTTATTCCTACAATTCCTATATTACCATTAATTAAAGAATATATTTTTGCATAGATTCCAAATATGGTGTCAATTTTTTATTTAATATAAAATGTATGGAAAAAGAATAATATCTGATTTTGAACATTATTTGATTGATTTACTAATTGATCCACAAAGCTGTTGTAAAATTAATTTTGAATTTAAAATTAAAGGAACCGTAAATTTTGTATTTATTTATCACTTAAAAGAATATGACCGATATCATAATTTGATATATGAAACTAATATAATATTTGAAGATAACAAACTTACAAGCTTCGAACATGAAAATGATATAATATTCGAAGATGAAAAAAAGAAAGAGATTGAAAAGCAATTCAATGAATGCCTTTTAAATACATATGCGCACATTATAAGACATAAAATGAAATTAATTCCTTATTAATCAAAAATATTTTTTATCTTATTTTATAATAAATGAGTATAACAACTAATTCATTGAAATCTTTAAAGTTCACTAATTCAGAATTAGAAAATATTTTAGAAAATTTTGGAGACGGTTCTTATCCAACATATATGCAGAATGTGAAAGAGTTTTCTAGATTGTTGAATGAATTTAAATATAACGGACCAATTACTAAAAAGGCTATAATGAGATATTTATATCCCAAAAAAGTTGAAAAACAGGAGAATATTTCCTCTATGGTCCAGAGGACCTGGGCTCAGAGAGCCTTGAAACACCTCCTGAATATTTGAAAAAAAATTAAACAAGATGAAATTATAACGATGAGATTGAGAAATTGGAACAATTAAGAATGAAATAGATGAAAAAATTAAAGAATTAAGAAATGCTGAAAATGAAGTAGAGGATTTAATGAATATCCCAGCTTCAGAATCAGAAGTTCAAAAATCACATGAGGAAAGATATAAAAATTACTTTTTGGAATCAACACAAAATTTATTAGATGGTGAAATAGACGAAACACTTTCAGAAGAAGGCACAAAATTTATTCATAAACATAAGTTACAATTTATTGACGATGGAGATTATCCATGTATATTACTTTCACCTCCTCTTGATTCTGAAAAATTCAAAAAAGCACTGAAAAACGTGACATATGCAACAAATACGATTAAGAAAGAAGACCATGATATTTACACAAATTATTATTTAAATAAATGTACAGGTGTTGATAAAGTTTTTGATTTGTTAGATAAAATATCAAAAGAAACAATTGGTACATATAAAATTTTATGTGATTGTGGTTTCATTGTTGAAGATACCGTTGATGTTTCATATGAAAGAACAGCTCCGAAGGAGGACGAAGTGGAAAGATCTATTCCATTCGTTATTAAGAACATAAAAGATATGAAAACTTATAAACATTATATTTATTCATTTATTTCAGAAAAAATGGAAGCAACACATAAATCATCTCGTCATCATTTCATAGCTATTCATACATTCCTTTTCAAAGTTGTGAAATTAAATAAGACAGGAATT